CAGATGTTCCGTCAAAAGCAGAAGTGCTGTACATAATGTCACTAAGTTTATGGAAACTAGTGTCATTTGAAAACTATGAGATGAACTTGCAGCAGGGAAAGTGATGCTAGGACTGTCGCTTCATTTTCTGGAGAGGGGGACTCACCATCAACTGCATATCAATAACTTCTAACTACAGGGTGAAAGGCCTTTCCTCTTCCTTTCCTCTCCTCCATTCTGGTGGCTGTCCTTTCCTCCCCCTGACGCTTGCCCCCATAGGAAAGCCAGCAAGAGAGCATTGTACTGGCGTGGGGCTGTGTAGGCAGCAGGGAGTCACCTCCTTCTCCATGAAAAGCTGGAGGAGGGCGAGAAGAGGACTCATTTGCCAATGGTGCTGTCTCCGAGCAAGGGGCAGCCACAGCAGGGAGCCATGCCAGGCTAGGGGGTAGCTGACAAGTGTTTTAGGAGCCAGCTGTCATTTTAACAGCCCACAGACTTTTCTAATCACCATATCCCATAGTGCACAACTGCTTCTCCCCTGCGACTGTGCGGGCACCGCTCGTTGGACCAGCTTTGTCCTGGCATTTTCATCACTGGTCAGAAGCTCCGATTAATTTGTGCAGAAGCTGTGCGTGTACCTGCATGAGACACTTAGACCCTCTGGCTGTTATTCCCTGCATAGTAGTAGTATTGCGTGAAAGACTTAAATTGTCTACAGCAAGATCTGCATGAGAGGTATACGCTACAACATTCAGAGTGCCGAAGTACTGTTGCATTGTAATCTGTAAACTCACATTGATATAGGCCTTCGTGTGAGAAAACATTTCCTGGACAAAGGAGGGCTCTTGATTCGAAACAAATCCAATCTGAAATTCCTTCCCATTGCCAGTGTTTTCTGCCTTAACAATTTTTAAATCATTAATGTAAATGTCATCCTGGCAGTATACAATTGCCTCCATTTTAAACTGAGTCCGGATGCATCTTTCAGCCTCTGCTGCTTGTTTCGCTCTAATGTCTTCAATTCTGGTCTAGGAAAGAAAAGAACAACAAATTCTCAGACATTTGCTTCCTTTACAAAGGTGCTAGTGCTCTGTAGCATCCCCAGGGAATGGCAAGGTGGACACAGTGTTCAACAGTCCTTGCTGCAGCACTGTCTAATCCCAGACCCCCTCTCTTGGGAACATGGAGTAATGCTTTAGATTCTGGTTCCTCTGTTGTGAAAGAGCAGGAAATTGCGGCGGTTTTGTCCCCTCCTTAAACATCCTGAGAGGGATGAGTCAAAATCTAGTGCTTGGACCCTGAAGGGAAATAAAAGGTTGATGGGAACAAGCAGCAATGGCCAGGCATGAGTTCAGCCTGCAGACTTGACCTTTGTTTTTGCACGCATTTTGTTTGTGTCTCCCTCTCACAGTAGGCAGAGACGGCAGGCACTGATGTGAGCTCCATGGCCCCTCCTGCCCTTCTCAATAATCACGTTCTATCTGTTGTCAGCAAACTCACCCTGTCTAACCCCTCACTGTCTGGCACTTCCATTGCAGTAATCTGATGCTGTCTGGCCTTTTTGATACTTCCACCTAAAACTCTGTAGGGCCACCAAAGTTCCCTCAGTCATCCTCAAATTCTCTTAAAATGCATTCCTAGCGTCCCTAAGAAAGCTTCACATGTTTTTTTCTCATCTTCAGTGTCTACCAGAACTTCCTTCCTCTTCATTCCTCTCACCGTGTTATGCCTAAAGACTCTCCTTAAACACCTCTGAGTTTAGCTGAAATAGCTTATTTACTTGCTGCCTGGGTGACCTGGGTGCTTAGTAGGGTTTGGCCATGCAAATCTGTCCTTGTAGCAAACACTCTGTTTCACTCACATTTGCCTTTGAGTTCCCTATTTATGCAGTACCCTGTGAGTGATCTCTGCTGCCTGGCTATCCAGCATTGCTTCTCAGCTCTTCCTCAAAGCTCTTTCTGAGAAAAGACCTTCAGTGACATCCTTATCATTTAACTTCACCCCAAAACATGCAATTCCCCAAATTGTGAACAGTCATCTTCTAGCTATCTCATAGTTTCATGATTTTGGGCTTGTCTGCTGCTCCTTCGTTTTATCAGGGATGAGATTCCTGCCCTGGCTAACACCCTGGCTTGCCTTTCAGAGAGGGAAGAGTACTGGTTAATGCTCCAAGGCTACCCACATGCTTACACATCATTGCAGGACTTAAATTTGAAAATAATTATAAACTCTTCATGGCAGCTATACCAGGTTTTCTTTGCATTGTGTCACATCAAGGCTGTGACTGGCATGAATGAGGAATGTATGTTTTAGATCTTGACAAAGTTGTACTGAAAGGCAAAATGCACTTTCATTAGTGCCGTTATAAGCATGCTATCATTTTCAAGCTCTTCCTTATTTTATAAAAACCCTAGGCCTGCCAGAAATTCCATGCTTGCATAAGGGTAATGCAGTGGGATTGGTACTGTAAGCATGGCTGTATTTACAAATGCCGTTCTGTATTGCTCTTGTCTTATCTCAGATTATAGGTAGTTTCTCACCTTAGCAGCTCTGTTTAGATTGTGAAAATTAGCAAAATGCTTTTCAGTGAGTTCCATAAATTTCTCTTCAACCAATCCTAAGGGAAGAACAGACAGACAAAATAAAATCAGGTAAGCAAGTGAGGTTTTTCAGCTGTTGTTAATATGAGACCTGGGAAAACTACTCATTTTCTGTATCGTCTAGAAATAGCAGAGCAGCTGTACTGATGCTCTATGCCTTTATGACCAATGCAAATAAGTAGGATTTTAGTTTTCTAGGTCCAAGAGTGTGAGGCATTAAAGACCACCTGTAACCACTTAACACCTGAGACATTGAGTATCACTGAGATTTCTTTGATGAAGCAATTTCTGTGCTTACAGCTGTGTCTGACCAGATGTGCCATCACTTGGCCATGTAAGAACATCTGCATCTCACCCCCTGAGTGACCTCCCCAGGAAGAGGGATTAGCGCATATAGTACAGAGCACTGAGCCTGGCACAGACACCATAGCTGCCTTCTAAGGCAAACGTAGGAGGGACAGGACCATGACATACTTTTTTCTTGAGTACTCTTTACTAAATGAACGATGTACCCTTTCCCCCGCCCCAGCAGTCACTGTATAATACATACAATGTCATGCAAAGAGTTGGCAAAGAAGTTGCCAGTTCAGGTTTGTGAATGACACTCCCCAGGCTTGGACATACCAAGCCACTCGGCTGGCACCAGCTATTTCTACTGTACTATTTCTTTACTGTGTTGTTTGTTATAGTTACTTTCTAACTCCCTTCCACCAGCCACTGGGAAAAGTATAACAAATGCTGGAGACCACGTGTAGAGTTTGGAGGCTCTAGAGAAGAAGCAATCCCCCAGATTGAATCAGATTCACTTCCCCACTCTGAAGTATCCTGGGTGAATCTCTTGCTCCAGCACTGAGAACATTGGCTTATCCCAGAAAAAAAAATGGTCAGGCACACCAGTGTCTCCCACGTGACAGCCTCATGTGGCCTGCGAGACGTACCCATCACTTTGTTCAGTACCATAACAGCTGGCTCCTCCAGTTCTATGATTTGCTCTTTTATAATGTCTTCAAATGTTCTGTAATTGGTAAAGCCAGGGAACTCCCGTCCACGATACTGATCTTGATATTTCAACGCTTTACCGGGTACAGCTTTTTTAACTGTAATATTAAAATAACATTGCTTTACTACTAAATAACTCAGATAATGAATTTCAGATTGAAGAAGGAAGTCTATTTTTCCTTTTCGAAATGCTCTTGCGAAGAACACCTACTGAGATGATCTTTCAAGCAATACCATTATTGCAGAGCTAACACACATCATTGCTCAGTGAATGAGCCATCTCCCATGCTGGATCAAGCATCTAACTGACAGAAAGCAGTACAGAAATTATGATGGGGCTCAGAAATACTGGTTCTTCTTGGAATTGCTACTGTCACAGAAATGGCCATTACCAGTCATTTCTGAGTTTTAAAAAACCGAGAACAAAACAAAAACCCAAACTCACTAAATAGTCTTATTCCAGGAAATCTACTGTTGACTAGCTATTTTTGTTTCAGATATCACTGTCAATATTTCTTTGTTAACATTATACGAATTTGCCATCTTAGCTGAGGTATATCCCTTTGAATTTGTTTACATATTTAGGCAAAGATGTGTTTCTAAGTGTTTTGAAAGATATTGCCCTGTCTTGGGATCAAACTAGTGACTCATGGATCAAGCGCACATGCAGAAGTAGAAGTCAAGCCATAAATGCATTCAGTTCTAACATTCAGATATATGAGTTCAGGGTTGGATAATACCAAAAAAAAAAAAAAAAGAGACAAGACGGAAGTAGATGTGGAGTATCTGGTTCAGAGTCTGAAAATGTACCTGTAGAGTTAAGGTAGTACAAAGTTGTAACATGGACACGAGAACATATATCAGCTTTGCAACAGAAATGTCAAGGCTTCAAGTATCCAAAGTATCTGCTATTTTTAATACTTTCATTCATCGTAAGACAGCTGAAGTTAAACAGAATCACCTGACGTGCAATGGCATACCTTCAGAAATCCTAGCAGTGACTGATGAGAATGCTTTTCGTCGAGGAAGGGCTCGCTAAAGCTACCTCTAGTTTTCAAGCTATGCAAGCAAACTTACTCTGCTGCACATGTAAATACTTCACCTGAGCATACGTACACATGATTTTGGGGTAGCATATGGTCAGCAAGAGCTGTGCTGTGTGCTGTGTACTGCTACCCTGATCCTATTGTGAAGTTGGACATATTAGTTTAAATCAATGGGGATAACCTGAAAGTGCCCAGAGGATTCCTCACTTTGGTTTAGCTGCCGTGTAATGCCTTGTGTGTCTTCTGTAACTCAGTTGCTCTTTGTCCTCTGAAGAAGCTGTTTCTTTCTGCTAGTGCTTTCTGCTGTTTTTTACATCTATTTCTTCATGTCTTCATTGTCTTACTCTTTTATTCCCCTCCATAAAATTGTGTTGATTGTCCTGGTACTTAATGGCTGGTACATAAAAGACATTGACCTACACCAATGTCTGTCTGTCTCTTCATATATATGCATATTTGTACATATATTTGTCTCTGGCTGACAGCATCTTTGCAGCCTATTTGTACCTATCATTTTATAGTCACAGGTGATGTTGACATAGATGTGCATCAAAGGTCAAAAGAACTTGTTTCAAGAGCTACTGCTTGACTGTCAGCTGATGCTGTTTCATCTCTAAGAGTAAATGATGGAGTCTCTGAAAGATGTGAAAAAGATACTGCAAAAGATGTTGAGTGTACAGCAGAGTTCAGTCTGCATGTGTCACCCTATGCCTCAGTTTAGAACTGAGTTCAGTTAAGCAATTAGCAAGGTGGGTGATGCACAGAGAGGGGAACTCTTTACAAGGCTGTGGTTATTTCAAACTCAGAATTGCTTTCTCCATATCTTAAAACAGAGCGAAAGTAGAACAAAAAAGACTAAAATTCCAAAACATTCCTAATAACAATAACAATAGCAATAGAATTATAACAAATGTATTATATAGTTTATATTATTATTATAATCATTATTATTGTTTAGTGTTGATGTTGGTTTTGTTGCTGTTATTTAGAATAATGGTTCAGAGAATCACTAACCAGTTCTGTGCCAGGGTCCACAATCCTAATTTTATCACTTTGCTGGGAGAAGAGAGACATCCACTGATCTCTCCACAATGACAGTGTTTAACACAAGCAGGGTCTTTGTCCCCAAGGACCAAAGCATGACTTGCCTAATACTACAACAAATGAACGCTCCTAGCTGCTTATTTTTCACTATCTTGAAAACAAGCCATTTATGATGCTGTGTCTTGATTTAAAAGCGAGGGAATGGAATCTCAGGTCAGGTGCGAGTGCTGGTTTTCTATGCTTACCGTTTGCAGCATTGTTCAGGAGAAGCGATCCCCATGTTTGAAACTCTCTGCGGATTTTTGTAAACAGTCTGATTTCATTTCCGAACAGCTGTTCCTCTCCACGCATTGTCTGAGAGATGTCTTGATTAAAGAGTTTGATCAACTGTAATGAGTTAAAGAACAAGCAAGCAATGTAGTAAAGTTTCATTTCTTCAGACTAACTTGCTTATGTTAAGTAAATCTGCAGTCATTTGATGTTAAAGCAGGGACATGGTTCATTGAAAACATCCCTTCCTTACATCTTTTATCCTCTTAACACCTGGAGTGTTTTTTTTTAAAAAAACCTGCACACCTAGAGGAGAACAAACTTGATAATCTTTTTGTTTTGTTTTGTTTTTTGTTTTCCTGTGAACTCTTAGAACCATTTACTAAATTCTAATTGACCAGACTTGTATGAAGTCTTTGAAGGCTGATGAGCCTTCATAAGCACCTCTGCTGGCCTGCTGAAAGCTTACTGTGAGGGCTTAGCTCCTCAAGATGAGACAATTAGATGGACTTGCAATCCGTATTTTAATGTCAGGAATGCATTGATCTTATGAGTGCTGTAAACAATGGAAACTCTTCAAAACATTGGGCAAG